CTGTTGCGGTTGCTGTTGCTGTTGCTGAAATTGTACACCTTCTTGTCCTTTATAGCGTTTATCGTCTTGAAGACGATGAGTTTGTACTTGAGCTGTACTTTCAGCGTCAGCCACTAGTTTTGCAAGACGACGTCGCTCTTTTTTCAATTGGGTTTTTGATAAATTTGATGCTGGAGGCGGTACAGTATGTAATTGTTCAGAAACTTGATTTTGATGCACTGCTTGTACGGTAGGTACTGCCACGGTGGGAATCGGTGTTAATGGCAAAGAAGTATTTCCAGTTTGCACTAGTTGACCATTTATGAACGTGTACAGCAGCTTGTCTTTATCTGGCGAACTACCTTTCGCCGTGACAGTGACCTGCGGTTCAGGAACATTTGGCAAATTGACGCGTCGAATTGTCACTATACGCTTTGAGGGATCTGTATTATTATTGCAGGAAGTATTTGCAGTCATAGCAGCTACCACATCCGGAGTTAATTGTTGATTATGCGGAGGTGCATAACACATAGGTGCACCTCTCATTAAATCGTAAGGACTCGAGGTTGGTATGCTTGTTCCGGGATAATCCAAATTATAGGGAAAATGATTGGCATGAGCATAGGGCATTGCGTATCCTTCAGGAACTACATTCATATTATTGATCGATGCAATGGAAGTAGAAGTTGTGGCTTTAACCTCTCGCTCGCGTTCACCATCGGTTGTCAAAAATTTCGTCTTTGTTTTAGTTTCGCATTGACTTTCTAGCTCCTTCACTTTTTCCATTTGCTGCTCTTTAGTGGGTAAATAGGAAAATTTAAATTCCGTATTTGTTTGTTTAACAGTGGCTATAAGCTCCAATATGGCAGTTTCAACCTTGGCTTTGGCGCGTTGCAAATTTTTAATATTCGTTTCCAGTTCACTGATTTTCTTTTTATCGCGTTTTTTACTTCCTTTCAATATTTTCAAATAATGTTTTTCGCTAAATTCCTTAAAGTAGATATTATAAAACTGACCACGTAAGTCCTGCAATTCGGCAATACGTTTTTCTTCTTCTTTTCGTTGTTTCTGTTTGGCCTTTTTTGCCGCCTTCTTAGGATTTGTTGTTTGCGGTTGCGATTTCTTGCTACTGCCCGTTTTATTTGCAGAACCCTCAATAAAGCTTAGCGTTTCTTTTATCCATTTTTGTTCGTTTACAGGTTCTTTAGAGTAATTATCGATCAGTTCGCAAATTTCACTCACAAAGTCTAAGTTATTGGGGCTCTTTACCTGGGCGGTTGACGCTTGTGAGATCATCTTTGGATTAGTTTTTGAACACCCATTAATCATCAATTGGTGTTGCTGTGAAGCCGAAATTTCTTGTGTAGTGAAATTGCTTAACAATATTTTCTTTTGTGAATTTTCTAAATAAGGTTGTTGGGTTGATTGTTGCTGATTTTTGCTAGTTTCTTTACTTGATTTTGTATGCAAATGATTTAAGCGTTTGCATAAACTGTTTAAGCATTCCAAACTGTTGTTTCCTTTATTGCAGTCAGTTTCTAATTTTTTCAGTTGATCGCAATTTGTGATCGGTGTATTGGTAATCAAGGGATGACTTAATTTTAAAGTTGGCGGTGCCTGTGGCTGCGGCTGTTTTACATTGCTTGGGTTGATTGTCCCATGCGGTTGAACTTGTGATTCTACCGGTAAGGTGGATGTTGTTATATTACATTTATTATTCTTACGATCATTCACTATTTGAGATAATTTTTTACGCAATCTATCCCGAGTTTCGTTCATTCGCGCGTGGTTACAATCCTAAACAAAAAAAAATTTGTATTAATTTTTATTAATTATATATAAAATTATGGATCTTTGTTACCTTCCTTAGGCGTTTTTTGTTAGCATGATTCTCTTTGCAATGGTCACCTAAGTCATTGTGATCAAAACAACCTGCAATCAAAAATAATTACAAAATTACATTCACGAAAATTTTACAAAACTTGATTTTTTTTTTTTTTTTTTTGGATAAGCATTTTCCATTTAATTATTTTTTTATGCAAAAATTACATTTTTTAAATTTTTCTTTACACATTTTTTTCGGTTGACAATCCACACTATCCGACACGTTAGACGCATGTGATGGTTGGATTTCAGTAGTGGGTGTGATCACAGAGGTGCTGGCATTTCCAGCAGGCGGTAAATTTCTGCAATAAATGTTCAGTATACATCTCCTTGTTTTTTCGTTGATACATTGTTTTTAAATTATTACTCACTCATTTAACTCATTTGTGTTTAAAATATCGTTTAGTTTTTTATCCATTTCTGCGCTGTCTGCTGCTTCCACGCACGAACCGTTTATTCTGAAAAGTTATGTAAGTATTCATAAGTTTAATTCTTATATTCTGGTTCCAATTTATTCATTTCATTCAATTGTAAGAAGAGGTTATGGCTATTTAGGAAACACATGACTTTTCGAAAATATGATAAAAATTTGTACGGATGTGCCATTTTCAAGGTATTGATAAAATGGTTGCTGAAAACTTGGTATTGTGCAGTCAATAGCCTTCGCTATATTGCTTCTGATTTGACTTTACCAAGCTTCCAAAGTAGTTTATATATATACAGAAGTAGTTCTGAGCAGTGCAGAACCTACAAGGGTCGCAACAGAATCTTAGACGATCATGGGCGTGCGTAAGTTAAATTTTATCATGAGCCCAATCTCTGAAGGTCGTCTTTGAATTCGAAAATCTCGTTTGTGTATGTCCGACACTACGTAGTAACACACACTGTGTGATAAATCTGACCATATCTCGTATCATGATTGGCAATGAGAATGTAATTGAATCTTAATCGCGTGAAGCTTTTGTGTTTATGTTCCTACTTGATTTGTGTCTCGCTAATAAATCATAACTTCTTAGAAAATGCAATTCTCAGCCACCACATTCTATACAAAAGGCAAACTTACTTTGATTCAATGTCATTGTCATAAGGCGATAAACTGGAATAAGAAAGATAAAACATATATTTGCTTGCTAATCATTTATAGATTGCGATTTATGGTACCTTTTGATTTTATTCAGAAATTCGATAAACTTCGTATCGTCCTTATTTCCCTTTAAGCTCTCGACATTAACTCGTATGTCATTATTATATAGCTCTAAGCACTGTAAATTAAGCGGTATTTTCTTAATATTATCCAAGCAAGGGAAATAGCTGGCATATATGGAAATCACATAAATCCAGTAGATTTTCACTACATAATCATGAACATCCATGACATCAAATCGATTATTTGAGGCAATCATTTTCCGATTATAAAACATTATATTCGGCAAAATTGAACGTAGTTCTTCGCGGGTCATCGACAATGGTTGATAAAAGCGTATAAGTTCTCGAGATAAATCCAATGATATTTCATTGTTTAATATTTTCCGAGCTAGCTGGCATTGCGCTAATTTGCAATTAATGCAAAATTTGGCTTCCTCTACAATCTCATAAGGATAACGTTTGCGATCTAATATATAAATAATTTATTATTATAATTTATTATCTAAAATGCTTTTCACTTACTATTTAAATGGCTAAAGACAGCCCATGCGATATGATAAGTATTAAAAGAGGGCGTTAATGATGAGGGCTGACATACATCAATCTTGTTATCAGAAGGTGTTTTGTCGTCACAAGGAATGGCATCAACTTCTCGAGTAACTTCGCTAAAGGCAGTATTTTTCGGTTTACTTTCAATATTATTGGTCTTAACGGAGGATAGAAAATCATCGTTGGTGCAAATGTTCAAAATTTTCGATTCGTAGAAATTCACCTCTTTTTCTCCAAGAACATTTTGTGCCGAACATTTATGGCAAAAGCCATCAGCATCTTTTCTGGGAGGTAAAGGTCCACCAGCTATTGAGCATGTTATACATTTGCAACCTCTGAAACAATCAAAAGTAAATTGCAATTAGCTAAACATTATTGTAAAGATACATACTCAGAATGATATTCCAGCAAAAGATTGCATTTTTTGCACTTATCTTCAACAACTAACGTGTTCGGTGGCTCAAAGAAACCTTTTGGCCATTTTGTTTTAGCATACGTCATAATTCTGTGCCAAACAAGGCGACGATTCTTTAAGGAAGCAAAATTATAAAAATCGCTTTCACCGGCACTGTCCTGAAGAGCGAACGCAATTGAATCCTGCATAACGGTGTCAAATATTTGAAAGACATCCATAGAATTTTTGCGTCGTTCACGTTCCAAATCGGTTAAATTGAATTTGTTCAATTCAATCCACACATCAGTCCAACGTTTATCCACATAATTCATAGTATCATCAAAATGTATATAACGTTTAATGAGAGCAGCATGACGTGATGTCAATTCTTCGTCTTTAAGCTAAAATAAAAAAAAAATTATATGCGTTAAAGATTTTTTTTTTATTTTTTTTTTTTAAGAAAAAAGAAAAATATATTTATTCACCGTTATTATGCAAGCTAACATAGTGTCGGTTAAATTCAAATAAACATGTTGCTGATAAAGACGCTGACACAACAATTTCCACGTTAAAGTAAATTTACGTAGAAAGGCGTTTTCGAAAGCAAATAAGCAAGTTGCTACCTTTTCCGATATGCGCATTATTTCGTCATAGCCATTCAGGATATCTAAGCAGTAGTGGATTAATGAAAATAAATCAAAGAAATATTAAATGAAAATAATTTATGTTTTTTGAATAATTTACTTACACGTAAGCATTTCTTCCGCTGGTATTTTATTCTGATCGGGGTCAACAATTTCGAGAAAACCCTCAGCATATGCTTTAACTATGCACTCTACATGAAATGCTAATATTTTTAGTAGCAACAAAGGATTATTAACCATTAAACTAAAATAATAAATAAAACATATATATGCATATATATATAGAAGTGGGAAGAAGAACATTTAAAAGAAGTCTATTAAGATGCAATTACATTGAACTAAATAAAACAAAAACCATATTATCCGATAAATATTCATCATGTATAAAGTCCATATGTTCAGCCATTTCCCGATAATAAAAGCCAGTTGTAATCCAATAAATTTTCTTATTACTATTAAATAATTTTTCAAATTTATTGTAGGCGGTAATGTTTCTAAAAATATTAAATAAAAAAAAAGATTATTATAAGCATTTCTTTACAAGAACAAAACGAAGTATTTCTTACTTGAGCATAGGTCCGTAAGCCTTTATTAAGACATCAAGTAACATTACTACCATATGAGCAGCTCTAAAATGATCTGCCATTATACGGAAGACCAATTCACGATACTCTTCACAACTTTTGCACGAACAAAATGTGAAAAACTCGTTGGCGGGGTGCGTCACAATAATATTCGATACATCCTGAAATGTTGTAATAAAAGTTCGTAAAATTGAAATTGCATTTTGATATAATATATATGGGGAAATATTTGATTGTAAATTAAAGTAAAAATTTATACCTTATATTTGGAATTATATATTTTTGTAATTTCGGATAAACTGAAGATAGAATTTAAAATCAAAAATCAATGTTCAGGTGTTCTTTCTAAAAAAATGATCACGTTTTCGACAAAGAAGAAGAAAAAGATAGCTCTTTTAAGGCTCTTTTTCTAAAGTGTTGAAAAGACTGAGTCGAAATAAAAATTAATTCTTCCAGATAAGTCTTCCAAGTGTTGGTAGCGTTTCAGTGTACGAGTAGACAGACCGACATACATACATATACTCTTTGAAAACTTTTCCAATCGCATTTCTATATTCTCGGCGAAAACTGAAGCAACGATCAACAATTTCGCTCCGTTAATGTCAAAAAAATCTTTTCAACATCCAAGGAGATAACATATAGCTGTTGACTATTGAACATTATATGCAAACCTTGAAAACCGCTGCAAAACAGAATCTCTCTTAATATTACATTATAAACACATATCAATGGTAGATAAGTAATTAAATTTACGTCAAATCACTCTTCTTACCAAAAAAGGACTTAGATGACAATTCTTTTTATCCTCTTCACTGAGCGCAGCAAACGCTCTTATACGTTGCTTATCAATTTCTACATTTATAACATTATCTTCGCGGCGACTTAACTCAGATAGGGATATAATATCTTTAATAACCAATTGCAACAACAGTTGAGGAGCTAGTGGATCGAAGTCTTTTATAGCCAGAATTTTGGATAGGGCAACAATTGGATTACAATCATCTATGACGGAAATTGACGATTTGCCAAAAAGGTTTGCAAAACGTAAACTCAATTTCTCCGAATCTAAAGAAGTATCGCTGGATGCACTACTAGTAGGTGATAGGCCGGTTGCCCCAACAGTTACTTGCGCATCCTTAGTGCCTAAAGCTTCAATTATATCATAGCCATATGCGGAAATATCAATATCATCAGACATTTTTTGACATAAGTCAACTTTATCCTTTTCAATGTTCCGTTTATTACATAAAGATGGTTTGCTTTTGGCAGCAGCGGCGCAAGATAATCCACTTTCGCTGTTTGGTCTATCTTCATTTTCTTTTCCGTCGACCGCTTCTAAAGCAATTTGGGCTTCTTTCAGTAATGCCGCCTTCATGGCTTGCCAATCGAAAGCCTTATTATTACGCGTTGGGAAATTACTTTTCAATTGTACACTAATTTTTTCCGTTGGTACTGAATCTTCCTCAGTGTCCGAAGATACTGAAGAACTTTGTTGATGTTCAGCTCCCAATTCCTTTAAAGCGGAATTCATAGACATTACCCACTTGGATCTAATTAGGCGAACATCGAATTTTTTGCTTTTCTTTGCATCCATCTTTCCGAAGGCACCAGCAGTTAATCAATTTGTTAACTTTGTTTCGTTACCAGCAAACTCGCAATGTTCTCAATACACAGCATGAATGTTGAAAGCAATCTCACAACAAGTTGGATGTTCAAACAAAAGCTATATTTGGTTTGGGATTGCGAGATCCTTTTGTCTTTGATTTTCTTTTTTCCTTTTTTTTTTATTTTTCTTGAGATCACTTTAAAATAGACTGCTCAGTTTTTACCTCCTTCTATTTCCTTTGCTAATTTGTATCCATGTACATATATATTATCGCGTTTTCACACTTTGCTTTATGAAATCAATTCGTTGCAAATTATATATTCTTTTTTTTACTTTTTTTTTCCTTTTTTTTTTTTTAACTATTGAACAGTATCTCTATTTGCAACGGAAACACAATTGATTGATTAACTTCTTTTTTTTGTTTCAATTTTCAAACGTACAAGAGCATTAATATTTGAAGTATATAAATTTATTTGATTTAAAAAATAGTAATTGCACAATTCTCTTATGTTTTTGTACACAAAAGCACAATTATTGGACAAGATTTTTCGTCTCAATAAGAATATATGCACTTGATTTCTTGGATTTTTCTCATGTGCAAACTTTTGCATTCAATACGATGGTATATTAAAACTTGTAGAAACATTTGTAACTTAAAGTTAAGAACAGATTCACGGACGTACTTTTTTTCAATGAAAAATCTTAAAAGTATCTTTGATCTAGCTATTTAACTATTTAAATAATCGGAAAGCAGTCGAGGTTTCTCTCACCATACATGTATTTTTTATTCATTAAAAACATTTGAAAGGTATTAAAGATTCGATTCAAAACTATTCTAACACTTTCTCTTGTTTATCTCTATTGTATTTTATTTACAATTCTTTCTCGCTTTTAGGGATTTCTCCCCATTCTCGGCATATGATTATAATGCCAAAATAATAAAATTCTTAGATTTCATTATTTAGGGTTCAATCAATGCACTATAAATATGTAAAAGATGCTTTCTTAAAACTATTTATTTAATATTTAATTTGGGACGACGAAAAGCATTCGGAGCATTTTTGCAGTTATTTACAGTGACAAGCATGCTTGCTTTTAATGCATTATTATTTCAAAATAATTTTTAAACTTTTATCGTCCCTTCTTTTACAATTACGGCTAACGTAAACAAAAAACAGCTGAGATAATAATTCAAGATAATTCAGCGGGTGCAATTAAAATAACTCAGCACAATTCAGCATTTGGCGTCAAAACAAATCAACAAGTGTCATCATTACTTTAATCGCGACGAAATGGAATAAGAGAATTCAACATCAAATTAAAAAATATATAAATTTATATCATCCGATCGAACATCTGTAACCACAAAATGGATCAGGACCACGCTACGACAATTTAACCCTGTCTTTGGTTATATATATGGTTTGGTAGCCGTTTTAAAGCTATATATATTTGCCTTGGATATTAGCTGGCCTTGAATTAATCTTTCACGGTTAAGCTGAAGTAATATCGTAGTAATATCGTATGGTTGTCATCCCGGTGTCAATTCATTTTTCTTTAAATTAAAAAAAAGAGTAATGCCTTTCCTTTACCAATGCTGCAGAATTTTTACACTCTATACCACTTGTGCAGCATGTGTTAAGTTTGAGTGGATATATGTAACAGGCACAAAGGCTTAAGATAGACTCACTATTTATTATACCGATCGCTTCAAAATCATAATCTAAATTGATGTAGGCCTGTCCGGCTGTCTGTCTATGCAAGTTTGTGTTCAAATAGCAATTTTTGAAATATTTTGAATAAATTTGGTACAATAACATGTTTTGATCGAAGAACGAACTTTATTGAAAATGGCTCGAATCGGTCCACTTTTTCGACAACTCCCCTATAACGCCCTATTCTGAAAATTAGTTATATGGGAAAAAATTTCAATTTTCACCACTTGTCAGCAAAAGTGGACCGGCTGTGGCTTTTTTTGAATCCCTTCTCATATAACGAAAACTGATGTTCTTACAACAAAAAGCTATAATTTTCGATGCTTCATAATTGAATTAAATCACAATAATAATTTAACATAAAAAACCTAACTGTGCCAAATTTGGAACATCTCGACCTATTTTTTTGATACTATTCTATATAAGCATTTCTTGAAACTTGATCCTTTATGGGGCAGAAAAATCTAAATTTTTATTTAAATCTAAACGTTATGCAAAAAATTAATCCATAATAGCAACTTGGCATAAAAAATGATATAAAAAGTACCCCAATTTTTGAACCTCTTGGACACAACCATTCTAACGGAAAGCAAAACTTTATTTGCAAACAGGTTTAATTTTTGATGTACAGTTAGACGGTATTAGGTTCTTAACAAAACGGTACAATTTTTGTGTTCTACGGCATGCCATAAACTTTTCCATACATTTGAAACATTCTATTGCTTTCGCATTCGCAGCAGAATCGCATTTAAATATACATTGCTTCTTTTATTTGTTTTAGTTTCGTTTTTTCGTTATTTTTAGCATAAATTTTCGTCGTCTCAGTGTACATGATCTTGAAGGCAGATGAGGCAGGCTGGAGCTCTAATCTAAAGACAGGGCTTGCTTGCAAACGAATTACCAAACAAATTTATTTATTTTTGCCTTGTATTTTATTAAAAAGAAGTATTGTTTTATTATTATTACTTTTTTGATAATAATATCCTATTTTATGACATAAATATAAATAAATATATCTACTAAAATAAAAACTTAAATTAGAAAACAAAATGAATAAAGATTTCTTTTCTATTTTCGATAAAAACTTCATGTTTGACATGATCGTTCTAAAGACCTGGTGAGTATATTGATGGATCCTTATCAAACCAATTCCATTTCTTATAATCCAGTTTAGAAAACAAGGTTTAAGTGCTTGTATTATGTCTCGCCAGAAATTGTCGACTATTGCACCGTCTTCAACATCATCTAATTGACGAAGTTGTGATATCTGCAATAAAGTTTCAAAAATTACAAGTCAGCGAGTAGTAAAGTATACATTTCATAACAAACCATTCTTATAAGACAACTACGGAGTCAAGATTGAATATCCACATCACAGTCTTCGAATGCATTGATACTGTTAAGAAATTAAAAAAAAAAAAATTGTTATATAATAGTATTAATAAGAAGATTTTTAAAAAACTTTAAGTGGTTCAGAAATGATTTTTACAATAAATTAAATTTATTAACATTAAAATTTTTGCTTTATTTAATGTAAAGAGCAGAATATAAAAACTAGCTTTACCTCTTAATTTAATTTATAATATTAAGATCTTGCACGGCTTCTATTCCCAAGTAATGTTGACCAGAATTGATTGGTTCGTCTACCTGCGTGTTGACGGTTGAAAAATACAAGAATTGCCAAAGTGCCAGTGCCACAGCTACCAATTGTAGTCAAAATTTCTAAAACTGGATGGAATTCGATATAATGAGCTGGAAGCCAAAAGAAGGATTAAAAATAATCTAACAAATTCTAACAAAAACAAAAATTTTTTCAATTTAGTAATTATTCCATTTAAAACAATGTTACCTGTTACATATTCGGCATAAACCGAAAATTTCAATTTCTACGATTTGTGACGATGTTACCTCTTACGTTTTTCGCCAAAAACCAAAAGTGTCACTTTTTTCGATTTAGGACGATGTCACCCCTTACGTTTTTCGTTAAATCCCAAAAGTTTCATTTTTTTCGATTTAGGACGATGTTACCCCTTACGTTTTTCGCCGAAAACCAAAAATTTCATTTTTTTCGATTTAGGACGATGTTACCCCTTACGTTTTTGGCAAAAAATGGAAATTTCATTTTTTTTCGATTTAGGACGATGTTACCCCTTACGTTTTTCGCCAAAAACCAAAACTTTCATTTTTTTCGATTTAGGACGATGTTACCCCTTACGTTTTTGTCGAAAAATGAAAATTTCATTTTTTTTCGATTTAGGATGATGTTACCCCTTACGTTTTTCGCCAAAAACCAAAAGTTTCATTTTTTTCGATTTAGGACGATGTTACTGCTTACGTTTTTCGCCAAAAACCAAAACTTTCATTTTTTTCGACTTAGGACGATGTTACCCCTTACGTTTTGGCAAAAAATGGAAATTTCATTTTTTTTCGATTTAGGACGACGTTACCCCTTACGTTTTTGGAAAAAAATGGAAATTTCATTTTTTTGATTTAGGACGATGTTACCCCTTACGTTTTTCGCCAAAAACCAAAAGTTTCATTTTTTTCGATTTAGGATGATGTTACCCCTTACGTTTTTCGCCAAAAACCAAAAGTTTCATTTTTTTCGATTTAGGACGATGTTACTGCTTACGTTTTTCGCCAAAAACCAAAACTTTCATTTTTTTCGATTTAGGACGATGTTACCCCTTACGTTTTTGGCAAAAAATGGAAGTTTCTTTTTTTTTTCGATTTAGAACGATGTTACCCCTTACGTTTTTTGCCAAAAACCAAAAGTTTCATTTTTTTCGATTTAGGACGATGTTACCTCTTACGCTTTTGGCAAAAAATGGGAATTTAATTTTTTTTCGATTTAGGACGATGTTACCCCTTACGTTTTTTGCCAAAAACCAAAAGTTTCATTTTTTTCGACTTAGGACGATATTACCCCTTAGGTTTTTGTCGAAAAATGAAAATTTCAGTTTTTTCGACTTAGGACGATGTTACCCTTTACGTTTTTCGCCAAAACCCAAAAGTTTCATTTTTTTCGACTTACGACGATGTCACCCCTTACGTTTTTCGCCAAAAACCAAAAGTTTCATTTTTTTCGACTTAGGACGATGTTACCCCTTATGTTTTTTATTAAAAACCAAAAGTTGGATTTTTTTCGATTTAGGACGATGTTACCCCTTACGTTTTTCGCCAAAAACCAAAAGTTTCATTTTTTTCGATTTAGGAGGATGTTACCCCTTACGTTTTTCGCCAAAAACCAAAAATTTAATTTTTTTTCGATTTAGGACGATGTTACCCCTTACGTTTTTCGCCAAAAACCAAAAGTTTCATTTTTTTCG